GGCATGTGTTTAGGTATCACGGGAAATCGCTTTGCCATCGACTGTCGATTGATCGCTCGTGGTCAGGGAGGGAGTCCCGACCGTGCGAATTATTCCGCAGGAATTGATTTACGACATCGTCGCGCGAACCCGACCATGCACCGAAAAAGCGTTGCCAGGACCGGAGACCGTCTCTGCCTATCTCCTGTCACGCGATTAATAAACACTGGTCAGTTGATGACGCGTGGCCACGAAGCTCTTTGGTGGTGGCTTCGTGGCTTTGACATTATACCATCCGACAGTAATTTTGTCTGGACCACCGTTAGCGAACGAGCAAAACGGCCGAAAATCGACAAAACATGTCGAAATCCGGTTCACATCGATCAGCGTTCCGATCATTATTAACCGCCCACTCATACACACACGCACACCTGATATACGCAAACATACACACGAATATATACTAGGTACAAGGATAGAATTGACACAGGTACACGTATACGCATCGATCCTGCCCCGTTATCGTTAATTCCCACCAGATTCAGCGTGTACCCTTTTTACCCCTCGACCGTATATTATATGCAGAGCACGTGTATATGTATAATATTGTCCCTAAAGTCATCAGTACGCGATAATGGACGGCGGTGGACGGCCTTCGGTCGTCGTCGTTCTCGTGAAGTTGTTATTTAATCCCTACCCTCTTATTCTTTCGCCCCTCGTTGTCGTATTTACACTGAACACGGTACACCTACAACACGATACTGTCAATCCAGTTTTATCCTTGCCGCACTCATATAATCCACTTGAGACCGGGAATTTATAGATTTCATTAAAATAATAGAAAACTTTTTGACGGCTTTGTTGTCGTCTTCATTGTGTTCGTTTTTTTTTCAAACTCAAACATAACACGTTTTAACGAATACCGCGTTCTATATACACCCGTGGTACCCGTCTATTCCAAATTTATCATTTTAAATATTTACGTGTTTATAGTGTTTGTTTCCTATTCCATTGCAGACATTCACGAAAGTCTGTCAAATTATTGTAGTGACATTAATTAGGTTAAACTTTATACCGCATGTTGCGCAATTTATTATTTAACATTTATTATGTAAAAATTATGCAAATTCAACGAACGGTATATCGTTGTAAAATACATATTTTCGACCAATTATTCGTGACACGTGTATAATGGTTAGTTTTTAGTATACACTTTACACCACTTCTAAATATTTTTTGCCCACGATTTCGAACCTATAGTAATCGGTAAATTTAAAACTGAAGTTACGAGTTCAAATATAATATAAAACTATAGTATAATCTATAGCACAAGTTAATTTGATACAATTGATAGTTAGACAAGAAAAATTATGAAAAATAAACATACTTGTATAAAATATAGCATTTATTGTTAATTAATTGTTAAATCCTTTGAATATAACGATTGAAAAATTCAAACATATAGAATCTCATATTAATTATGATTTTAAAAAGATCAAATGATTTGAAAATCATGTTATGATAAAAAAATGTGAAATCAACAGTTACAATTTGATTTATACCGCAGAATGTATGAGTTACCAATAGATATTTGCAACTTTTGTTTTAAAATATGCAGATTAATTACAAAACAAATCGCGTACAACTTAATAAATTATTTTGATTAATTACTATTCTTCTGTCTGGCGAGTTATGTCTTACCACATGTATTGCTTATTGTACAAATACATTGATTGGTATTAATTAAGTGTAAAAAATATCTAAAATGTAATATAGGTTGTGATATTATTAAAAAACAAATTATTTTATTAGTAAATTTTTATCAAAATATCACACAAAATAAATTTAAAATTTATAACTTTTGAGTTTATTTGTTGATTCTATAATATAACAGTATTATGAAGAACATTATTTGATATAAAGTATAGTTAAATTATTAACTGAATTACCTGTCAATGCCGGGTTATAGTAAAAAAATGAGACTGTAGAATAGTTAACTAAATAAATAAATAATAAATATAAATGATATACATGAATATTAAAGATTGTAAATTAACTATTTATTTCAGTGCAACTTTAAAACAATTTATAAGTAGTAAGTACCATAACTAAAAAATTGAGAATATTGTGTGATTCTAAATTGGTTTTTGGTTGAAAGCAAATACTTTCTAACTTTACATTATAAATACAGAAAAACTTTTTTGTTAATGGAGTGATTTTTCAAGATTGCTTAATCTAATTATTATTGTATAATTAACACTATGAATCCTAAAACATTTGCAAATATATTGTTTTAAATATAATTATGCCATCAAAAAATGTAAAAATTCGGTTATTATAATTATTATTCATTATTTATATAAAAACTTGTGATTTGTAATTTATGATCAAAACTTATAAAATGCTTCAAAATTAATTTAAAATGTATTAGTGTTTATTTGGAAATGATTGCTTGATACTTTTATATATATATATTATATATATTTTATTATATTAAAAATAATTACTGATTTAAAAATTTCAACTCGAGGAAATTAACATTCAATATTAGTATGGATTCAGTTTATTTGAAAATGTGGGTTAATTTCAACTAGGTATTACTTTAATGTTAATTTACATTTAATGTATATACCATGAATATGAATTAAATTTTATCGTAAAAAATAGTAAAATAAACATTGGTAGGCTATTACATAAAATTTGGATGAACTTTGACCTTTAAATTACACTCAGTTTTAACTAACTTCCATTATTTAAAACGTATTGTCATTTGTCACTTATTATTTCATAATACATATATTAATGAAAAAAAAAACACTATATGTATTGTGAATAATTAAATACAACGAACAATGAATACAAAAAATCGTCCACCACTATATTTCAATGAATGACCTAGTAGTAGATTTAAAAATAATTTCAATATCCAGAATACTATACATTCTCGAAATTTTTTTTTTATTAGAAATAATCCTCAGCAACGTGGTCATTGGCTGACATTTGACATTATTGTTATTTTTTTTATTACATAATGTTTCTCGAGTTATATTATGAATTACAAAGCAAATTTTCAAATTTTTTATTTCATACATATTTATTCATATGTTTCTACCTTAAATTTAAATTATTTCCATTTATTTGAATACACAATAAAAGTATTAAAAATAAGTATGAAAATTTTTACAGAATTATATTCTATGAATAAATCATTATAAAATAATGTTTTGGTAAAACATTTAGTTACTTAAAATATTTTTAATATGCGGAACGAAATATAATATCTAATTAATTATGTTTTTGAATGTATAGAATAGTGATGAAATTTATTTCAATACCACTTGTATCTTGAGTCTGACTCTTGTTTGTCAAACAATTAGATACTTAAAGTATAATCATTCAACTTGGTCGATTAAGAAATACTTAACGGGGTTAAAGAGTTTAATTCCAAACAATAAAACCACGTGTAAAAACCGTTTTTTTGACGATAAAATGTTTTCCTTCTGTGAATAATGTAGTTTGTAAGGGAAGAGAGTTTCATTTTTCATCCCTTTAAATTTTAATCATCGGTGGATTTATAATCTGATTTATAATGTCTCCTATTCTTATCCTCTAGGGTGTATGCGCATATGTATATGTATACATGTGTGTATTTATGTGTGTAGTAGAAGTTGCGATGTGAAACTTTTCAAACTAACATGCATGTGTTGCACTACTATGTAAAAGTCAAAGTTAAGTGAGCACTGAAACGCTTATGAATTGTGTTGTGTGATGAAATTAAACTTAAAATTTACTCGTTATTTTTGTATCGTCTAAGTAGTACCGGGTAATGACGTTGGAAGATGGAAAATCCAGTGATGATGATATTTAAAAATAAAAAAACGTTCATTTAGAGACCTTTGCCATTTGGTCCTGCGTTTGGGGTGCATAAATTATTCCAGAGACCTATGCTGACTTGTATAGGTACACACCACTAATACTAACGGATAACGACGGTCAAGAATTAAAAACAAAAACTTTTTTTACGCCAGAGTCCAATAAAAATATTAAGTACTTTACTTTTTTTTTTTTTTTTATTACAAATTCACCTGTTATTTAGGATTACAAGTCAGTGTTTATATCTTCCTACGTGTAATTAAATTTTTTATTTATAAAGTTATTTGAACGGTGTAACTAAATTTTATAGCTACAGTTCATTCAAAACATGACTTATTTTTATAAGTATTTTTTTTTAATTTTTTATTTTTTTGTTATTATTATATGAAAAAGTGTTTTTAAAAAAATTATTGTGCCTATTTAATTAATTCAATTTAATAATACTACCTTATTAAATAACATGTATTCAACTTTTTTTTACGAGTTATAAGAAAACATTAATTAAAGTATAAAAACCTTTATAATGCTTTGTAAATTACTAAACACAATATGTTTCTCAGGAAAAAAAGAGTTTTTTTTATTTTCTTGAAATAGAAAAAATAGAAAAATATGTGCATTCTTATTCTCTGCTGTTGTTTTTTTAATATTTTTTAATGAAATTTGAATTGAAATTACACGAAAAAAATTATAGTTCTTCTAACAGTCGTATAAAAATGAAGTTTTAAGACTGTTTTGTGGCTAACAGTATCACCGATCGTACATTACTATTCCTTTCAAGTTTGAAAACACTGTTTCATTGTATCTGTGAAATAGGGAAAAAAGACGAAGTGGTGGGTATATACGATAAAAGGGTTCCCATAACTTTGCGGGAATTCTTTAAAAAGAACTTCACTCTCCTGTCATCGGCGATATTGTACACGTCATTATTTGGATGCATTTTCTATTACCAACAAAAAAAAAAGAGTGTACAACTAAGTGGATGTCACATTAGCGTACGTTACGAACCCTTCGGTACTACGACGCCATCATCAAATACATCATGAATACGTTATCGTTTATAAAATATGTTGTCATACGCGTTTTATTTTATGACAACATTCAGAAATTGAATATTTTTATTACTATTATTATTATGAACAATGCCATACCTGATTCGTGTATTTTATTTTTCAACAAAAAATCAGCCGTTTTGATATTCCGAGTCATCACATAGTGTTTTTGATGATAATTTTTCTCACTTCTATTCGTTTCTATTTTTATTATGTTATTAAATTATATTTAATTTTTTAATTTTTTATTATTATTATTTCAGTCTTTGCGTCGATTCCGTCCGACACATAATTACGTAGACGACAACGAGTCGAACGGTTGAAAACGGAGAGCAGTAAAAATGATTTTCCACTCCGACCACTCGGCACGTCGAGACACGCACTGCCGGCAAAACAACCCTTGTGCACCCGACGAGAGTGGCGTTAGGACGGTATGACACGTGACTGCTACGGGTGCGCCACGCATCACGTTATCCTTTCCGTGGCGCACAACCGCAGTAGCGATCGCTTCTCCAGCCGACGTCGGAGCGCTGTACACTAGGGATACGCTTCCTGGTAAGCATTTCGAGAGTATCCATATTTATTTCGTACGCATCACCATCACGAGCGTACATTTAACCGTGTAACCAAATATACACGGACCGCAAATGCATGTATTATAATGCAATTGCCCGTAATCGGATCTTTACGGAAAAAAAAAAAACAAATGACAGATGTATCATACGAAAAGTACTGCAAAATATAACTTTCAAATATCAAAATACAAACTGCATTTTTTTTTAAATTTTTTTTTTTAAGAGCTGTTCTTCAACGAATTGCATTTTGATGTATTTATAAAACATAAAACACAATATTACAAGTGAATGTGAATACGTATTTAAAATACTTTTCATCCTTGACTAAAAACTCACCACGGCTCACTAATTATTTGGTCTTTTTTTTCACATTACTCTCCCCAGTAACCCTTCGGTAGAAAGGTCATACGATGATAAAAAAACTTTCGTGTATGTCCCCTAAATTTTATTCCGTCGGATGATACTACTGAGCACCGAGTGCTTTTTTAAATCTTCAATTTTTGTCATTTGTCATTTGCCATTAATGGTGTTAGCAAAACTGTTTTTTGTACAAAGGTTGGGTTTAGATTTTTTTTCATTAAAATAACAAAATGTAAAATATATTAACCGATAAAAAGCCAAAATAAACTACAAAATGTACAACGTGTATTATATAAATACAGAAAATTTATATCCGTCAGAAGATAACAATTATGTATGGTTTGTTGGGAATAGCATTATCAAAAGTATTATTTCTTTAACTAGAACCGCAAATTTATTAATATTTAAAAAATGCTTGTTATTTCACAAAATACCACAAGATTCTCAACAAGGTAAAATATGACGTAAAAATGGTCGAAGCGTGCTTTTAAAATGTGTACTTACTTTTACTTAGCATAAAATAGAATAAACCTGAAAATAATGAAAATATTTAAAAATCCTAACCTTATAATTTATGATTAACAAATATATACTTGTAATTACGCAACTTGTTATTACTATAACTTTGATACTTAAAATTGTGTATAACCTTATCTGTCAGGGTTGATAATAGATGCACAATTATGTGTACATGAATTTGGACATTAAATTTTTGTATACCTAAATAATGTAAGTACTTACAATATTTTCAATGCCAACTTCTATTACAAATTTCCTTTATTATATCAATATTTCCAATATTTCTTATATATATATATATAAATATATTTTTTCTTGGATTGGCCTAATTATTTGGTTAAAATCAAACAATTATCATAGTAACTATAACGAGCATTTTAGTAATTATATTATATTTATATTCATGAATAATACAAATAATTTTAATTTTAGGTTTATGGAATGCCTGATATCAAACATAAAATATTATTAACAAATTATTTGTGTTCTGTTTGGAAATCAATGAAGTTATTCATAGTAATTTTATTTTATTCATACAATTATTATTGGGTTTGAAAATATTAAGGTCAAACTTCTTGTATACATTTTAATGAATCCATGCAAATCAATGCTATTAAATATATAATATGATAAGCATATATTATTATTATTGTACAACTAGAATATTATATTATATATTAATATATATTTAATTAATAGATATTAGTATTAGAATAGTATTATTAGAATACTAGATCACTAGAATGGTATAAGTATAATAGCTGTATCAGTATCTATATCAGCTCTATTATGATTCATTTAAAAATTAACTGTATTAAATAAGTTCTAGTAATTAAGTTCCAACAATTAAATATACATTATTAAAATATTAATTATTCTAAGCTGTAAAAGTTACTTAATGAAAAAAATATGTGTATCCGAATTTATATTGTAATGTATGATTTACAATTATTGTCTCAGGTTATAATTGTAGCATATTCAAATGAAAAAGTAGTGAACTAATGACAAATGTTCGAAATATATTATTTTGTACCAGGAAAGAAAACAATAATAACTTTCGGAAATGATAAGATATAATATTAGATTAAAGATACAAATTGGCTAAGTAGTATAATATTATTTTTTCTTTTATATTGAAATAAAAAAAGTGATTTTAATGTTAATTGTAACCTAACCATGGATTAAAATTTTAACACAAATATTAAACATTTCAGTTATTCTTGAAAATATTTTGAATTAAACAATTTGAATTTACAATAAAATATCCTTAAAATGTAATATTATATTTATATAATTTTAAATAATAATGAATATTATAAAAAACTGGCATAGGCTTATAAAATAGTACTAAATGCATTATGTAGGGACTTTATCAGGAATACAAAGAAAAAACAACCTGAATAAAGATAATATTGTATAAGACAAGATGTACAAGGTTACCTGAGTCTAATTTGAAAATTAATCTTGAGAATCATTAGTTATAATAATATCATTATTGAAAGGTTGTGTATGTATTTTTTCTTTTACCAACAATCGACTGTTGTATTCAGTTAGGAGTAATTGGATAATCCCCAAACATCATGCAGTGGCTTTTTCGTAACAACAGGTAGTTATATCTCTACGGAATTGTACTTGGAAAACGGTCAAGAAAGCTAATTAGAACGACCTGTACAAACGTTTAATTTAATTTTTTTTAACATGATTACTTCTGCACCAGTATGTCCAGCAAAATGAAAATTCGACTTTATGACTGAAAAAACGATAAACCACTATAGATGTGTAATATACATGGATTTTATTATTTACGACCGTTTTTTACTATAACCGAGGATGGGGAACTCAAAGTAACTAGAGGGCCAATTTATAGGACTTTAAAATCTGGCGAGCCAGAGTAAAAAAAGTAAAAAAAATATTATATATATATCTATAGTTATTTTAGCTATGCTAATATATATATATTGTATATATGTATACATGTATATATGTATTATATTTAAACTTCTAATAAATTAGCTACAGTTCAGTGCTAGAGAAAATGATAATATTTACATTTTACGATCAACGTGATAAAATTAAATGCCGATAAACGCTGAAATGTTATGGAGTCATTTGAAAATATAGTATGGACCAGATTAAAAATGAACGCGGGCCGCCAGTTGCCCATCCATGTTATATAATTATGTAGTTTTGTTCATTTTTTTTTTGTTTTTTTTTTTTTTGAGTAATTTACAATCAATACAATTAAGCACAATTAGTATATGCGAGGTAAGAACTATAAACAAATTGAGGCTACGTGAATAAGGAGCCACCCATTAGTGACACTTAGGATAGAATTTAGGATGTAGAATTAATTTAGACAGAATATCTCTACACCATTTCCGTTTAAGCCCTCGGCGAAGATATCCAGGAAGTGGAGGTATATGTAAGCCTTTTATTAATGAGATATTGTATTCTAGGAAATAAGTAATTGTAGAAAACTGCAGATTCTTTTTCAATTGTTTTGATTTACTGTGGAAGGTTAGGTTATTAACTTAAGGGTGAGCAGGTTATCTTGTAAGGTTTAATATTTAGGAATATTTGTATCTTGTTTAAATTTGATTTTTTCATTGAAACTATGAGCTTATTGTATATTATTAGTTTAGCATTTAAAGTGTAGTAATAAATGTATCTATTAAAATTAGCATTTTTAAATAGCGGTAACATGCATTGATACTGAGTCGTTATTTTTAATCGTTAAGTATGTAACCTTGTAATACCTTTCAGTATTTTATCATGTGGTCATTGTTCAATAAACATATAAGTATTGACATTTAGGTATAATCAAACAAGAAGTGTAATTCATATAGTCATACTTCTACAAAAATAATGATACTATATGTAGGAGTATTGTGGATAATTAAAATAATTTAATACGGCTCTTTAGTTAGGCTATTTAGGTACATTTGTCTAAGAATTTAATGTTGTATTTTATGGGTCACCAAATGGCAGCCCACAAACAAATTTTATCCGGCCCGAAGACAAAAAATAAAAACACATATTATGACAACATTTTATGTTTATAATATTTGTAATATTAATTATGGGCTGCATACTACTTGCGTTCCCCAAAAAGGTATATTTCAGGTAGTAAATTCAACAGGTAACTTGCGTCCCATTTTGGGTACGCAACTCGACCATACTATTTAATTCTTACCTGCTATAATAGTCATGAACAAGATGAGTCCATAAATATAATGTGTTACAATAATCATGTATGTATAATTATAAATTGTATATATGGTATAATATCTGCAACTATCAATAAATTAATATTATCAGCTATTATACCATTTTAGTGTGATAAAATTAATTTCGTACCACGACGATGTTTGGTTGTCGCCAATTTCCGAGCCGTATTTAAAAAACTGAATGCTTTGAAAAACTTTAAATGTAATTAATTACTTGTAATACTTATTTTATGCTATATTTATGACTTATTTGTGTTGGGACTCAACTCAAAAGGTACTATTGGATGCAAATAAGCTATGATCTTTTTTAAACCTTTTTTGGTGGGACGCAAATTACCTACTGATAATAATCTCGGACGCAAGTAATGTGGCACCAAAATTATGTTCTTAATGTTTAAAAACAATAGCAAATAATAAATAAAATAAATAATGTTCTCATTACATCCAATTTTAAAATAATACTTATTGTCCTATTATATGTTGAAAATATGTACTTAGAATTTTAATGGCCCGCGAAAATTTTTCAGATTCTTAATGTGACCCTTCAAAAATATTAATTAGTAACCACTATTGTATACCTATTTAATGTACATTATTATTGACGAAAACATATTTTTATGCTGTCTTACAACAGTTGTAATATTTAGAAATATATTCAGGTGTATTTGTAAAAGTTTGGATTATAAACTGTAGGAATACAATTTTATATCAATCCGAAACGTTAACAATTATTTTAGTATTGAAAATGAAGATATTTATTATTTAAAT